ACTGTATAAGTCCGAACAAGCTGTATCAAACCATATCTGTAACCCAAGATGTAATCACATGATATACCACATAACTCAGACACTCGTAGCGATAGCTTCTAATCACAACAGCTGCTCAAACCACCCAATTCCGGTAATAAACCTCTTATCAAACCAAAGCCTCATTCCAACACTTTCGTATACTGCCAATGATTAAAGAAACACACAGAAATCATAATCATTCCTCAGTTCAACCAGTCATGGAGTTCCCTCTTCATTTCGCAAGGACTATAGCAAATTCCTAAGCCGAATTTCGATATTATCCTTTCAACATGCTGAAATCAAATCCGATAGTATTCATTCTAGGTCCAATGACCTCATCTCATCCAACACGACTACTCTGGTGACAAGACACATCAATACAATCTAAATCCACAACCTGTGTAGTCCGTGCACCAATAAGCAACAATCAGAACGTACTCAAATCATGAAAAATGACTCAAATGAGAGAGTTGTACCGCAAGCTCACCAGTACCACCACAACACGATGCTAAGAACCCATCGCACATTGTAGAACCAAAACACATGAATCTAACCCAAAGGATCATACCTCCACATAACTTCGCTGCAATGCGCGATCTTATTCAAACACTGATCCACATGAAACACCTCAAGTCACCATGCTCAAAATCAACAATCACGTGCAATTTGATGTCTAGCACCAAGAGTGAATCACCGTAACCATGGAGAATCAAATGACACAATGTCACACCGGCCCGAAAGAACATACCCAATGTGCAATCAATCGTGCAACACCCAGATTCCCATTTCACTCAAATTTTGCTACTAAGCCTAAATAGAACCATATCATTTGTGTGTTTAACCAATGAATCCCAATCCCGTGTAGCATATAATAGCAGCTTACAAATAACCTCAGAACACGAATAAGCTCAATGACAACTGAATGGCACCTCCCTCAACAATAGCAGCTCGGAGTCAACATACCCGACTCGATGCAGAATACACATCCATATTAGGTCTACCAATGAACCCCAATCAACTCTAGCCGTCCACAATAGATAAATAACTCTTCGAAAGTTCACAATGACTGAATCATAGCACATACTATCATCTGACTAGCTTGCCCACATCTTCACAGTCCACAACCATGAAATAACCTGTTTATGAGAACTCCCAGTCTCCAAATCCATAAAGCTCACGAATCACCTTATCTGATCCCAACTCTCGAATATCTAACACATCTCTAATACTTGATCATTCCACAAGGGGTACTTCTAAAAATTCTTCTGTGTCACCAAGCAAACTTTGAATATCAGCAGTCGATCAGACAAGATAGTGCCGCAATACCAATGAAGTATCCATAACTCAAACACATCGCCCTTTCTTAAATGTATACCCTTATCAAGTCACACCAATCAGTGATCTTATTTATCTAGTCAGCTGAAACTGACCATGTTGCTTAGAATTTATGACCTTCCTTTCAAAACTGAACCGTGACCTTACACATGTAAATCTCAACCCCACACAACATACCGTATATACTATACCATCCCATGATAAATATGAGAAATTCATAATCCACTCCGAGCTACAAGCAACAACGGACTCAACCAGCCAAGAACTTTTCTATTTGATCCCACCTAGGAGAAAATCACTATACATCTCATGATCCTCACGCTAGTAGAAAATGTACACCTCCTACCGTGGTAGAAATCATCAAGAACTCTCCGAATCCCCTTTGTAGAAAACTAAACCAATAGGACTGACTCTTTCTAACTCAACCAAGCTATGCAAGCCATCAAAACCTAAGAGCATTGCCACAAAACACCTGTAGAAACCCATCGCCTCATAAGCACCCAAGAACCAATCTTATCCATTACCATGCCGATCCAACCTACTACCATGCCGAAATGTTCTTTATTTTAGGTTTCTGAAGTGCAGTAAACATCCAAAAGGGACAACCATACATAGTCCCCTTTGCTTTAAAACTAAAAACATGGTGATATTTATATTTTGCTTTAAAACTAAAAACATGGTGATATTTATATTTTAAGGCACACCGACGTTGAACTTTAATTTGTTTGCCACTTTGCTATAAACTTTATACCTAGATATTTATTAGGTAATCACTAAACCAATAAAATACAGATAAATATCATCAACAGCCACGGGCCACCTTCCTTAAAAAAGAAATAAAAGAAGAAAGGTGCAAATACTTTTACACTGGGCAAAGATTGTCATATGACTAGGAAATTATTAGTTGGAAAGAGAGCGGCTTAGTTGTATCTCATGTCGATAGACTAATATACGAAGCAGCTCGGGTAGATGCAACTTTAACGCCTCTTGTCGTGTTATTCAACTGTGACTCCTTTTTTCTTCAAATTTCCAGATTTCACACGAAATTTCCAATGAAAAAAAAAGTTAAAAAGTGGTGGTAATCACCTTCATTCATGTTTGATGTGTAAAGATTGTTGAGTAATGGTACCCATTACTACAAGTGTGGTGGAATAGACTATATCTGCTTCCTTTAATCAGAGATTTCGATTTTAAGTCATTAGAATGAAAAAAATTCTGATAAGAAACGTTATCCTATTATGAGCGTGTTGTCCTACTGTGAGCTCAACTTGACATAAATTCGAATTAATTGGGTCATTAAGTTCTAAATTTCGGCTGGTTATGATAGGATGGATGAGATCTTTTCATCCTCAACGAGAGGTCATGAATTCGATCCCTAGAAATGGCCCTAGTATGAAATTACACTTCTCGATGCAAATTTAAATTAATTTGACTAGTGAATGTTATTGAATAGTAATGACTACTATGAGCTCAACTTGACATAACTAGTGTCAACCTCTTTGGGAGGGGGAGGGGTGTAGACAGGGTCGTACATAGTATACTAATATCGGGTTCAATTAAACTCATAATTTTTATGCAGAATAAAAATTTATATATAAAAATTTATTAAAATTACAAATATAATGAATATGAAGCTATGAACTCATAACTTTAAAAATGTGTTGAATGCTAAGAATTTTAAAAACTGAACCTATAGAGTTTAAATCCCGGATATGGCTCCGGATATAAGTTCATGAAAGTGCTACTTGGTCGAAGGACAATGGTCTTCAAAATAATCGGGATCTGCGCTTCTAAGGACACCGATTATCAGAAAGCTAATCTTTTTAATAATAGAAACAATGACAAATAAAAAGTGAAAAACTTTGCTTCCTTCCATAAAACATTTTCCAAGGCTGCATCCGCAGAATATAAAAATAAGAGCATCTTTTTGACTTGCAAATACTCTGAACCTTTTAAAAAGAAGTCTTATAAGCTACAAGTATTAATTAGACAACTAACAGGAAAAAGAAAGAAATTGCACCACTCGCCCGGTGCCAGAGTCAAAACCAAGGGATTCTCCTTTATTTAATAAAAGTAGCGCGCTTCCTTTTTAAGTATCCCAAAAAAGATTTAACTTTGTCACGTCGTCCAAGCATTCCTAATCCATATAGTATAAAAAACTAAAATTTAAAATATAATATTTTTTATGGTAGCGATAATGGCAGCAATAGCAGTGGAGGAAAAAAAAATTTTAGTAAAAAATAGAAGAGCGGTGAAATAACTTAGGGGCGCTGAGGTAGCAAGTCATGTGTCATCCCCTAATTAAATGTTAGTGACGTGTCACGTTAGATTAGATGTCCACTTTGGACAAACTAAACGGAAAAAAGATATATTTAAACCAATAGTATAACGATATGGTATACATTGACTCAAAGTATAAATACATTTAAACCTTTTCCGATAGTACAGGGTAAATTTGACCCTTTTTCGAATATCCCAAAAAGGATGAGGGGAAAAAAAAGACGCATTTCTCCTTTTATGCATTCAGATTGCCTTATGCCAAAGCCAGAGAAAATATACAAGTTACGCAAGAGCTTAAGGAACGTATTTGAAAATTGAAACACAACAAAATTGCAAGCACAAAAAGTAGCTGAATTAAAGGAAAGGCCAACTAGCACCACCTCATTTAAAACAGCTTCAAAAGGATTAGAATAAGATCAAAGCAATTCCTCAAGGAAGTAATCAAATCTTCCAATATCAAAAGCTCGAGACAATATTATAATAACCACCTCTTCAGGGTTCCAGTAAATAAAATATTATCACGTGCCAGTTCACATGACTACTCTGAAACCTTTAACAACTTATTTGGAAATCAGAGTTCCAACACAGAGAACAGTCAAAGGAACATCACATGATCCCATTAGCATCGGATCCTTCACTACATTGAAACATCGTATATAAATCTCATCAGCTCAGCTCCAAAGCTACCAAATCACAATAACATATTTTCTTGATCACCTCTTATTCCACTCACCCTGCAGCAAAAAACTCATCATTAACATACTTAAACTTGGCTTAAAGCATGAGTATGAAGAGCCATTCGAAAACACTAGCTGCTTTTGTTCAAGCACTTCTGTTGATTCTTCGTTCAGAGTCCAATGTTGTACATGCAACTCGCTTCCTCTTCACTAAAGAGCATCCGTCCACAAAAACTTCAACATCACAAACAATTAAAGGTCTGCATGCAAAGCAAAAGCAACCATTCAAGAAAGTCGATTCAAGCTTTAGGAGAATACCTCCAACCAGATGGAATCCTATTCAAAACAAGTAATTTCTGAATTCAAAAGTGTTCACATCTTACCTCCATAAGCAGTTTTCTCAGATATCACATTCTTGTACCAGGTTCAAGCCCCCATAGGATGACTAAAAGCATCACCTCAGCAAAGCAAAGTGTCTCCGGAGCAGTTTGTTTATCCAATATGAATGTAGTTTGCTATTACAAAATTAGTTTCCACTTTCCAGTTAGGATAGTCACTTGCAGTACAAATACAGGATCCAATTTTGTTCCTTGGTAGCTATTAAATTTCTTGTTAGATGTATTTCCCAAAGTTATACAGATGTGAATAGTATAAACTTTTCAGAGTGGTGCATTTATGAACCAACCATTTTAAACTTAGCAATGTAGCATTTAAATAAAAATCAAAGATCGCATGAACAACTAAATTCAAGTGTACTCGGCATCCAATAGAAGTTCCATGCCTTTCTGATCAAACAACAAAAAGTGACCAAAACTGATCATTCACAGTAACGTAAAATTGAATAAAGAACCTATAAACATTACAGTTAAACTTTAGTCCTCTTTCTTTGAGATTCTGATTGACCATCTTTCCTATGCCTTTTCTTCTCATCTTTCGACCTTTTCACTTTTTTGGAAACCTGATGAGCCAAAAAGGGGGTATTGGAAGTTTTGGCAGAAGACAAAGTCGGCTCGATCTCTTTCCTAATGTCTTTCAATTTTTCTTGCTTTGGTTTGGAATGAGTATCAGCAAGAAAGTTCTCCTTTACAAGTGATTTGGTTTCCCTTGGTCCGAATGTAGCATAAAATTCTTTGAGCGCAGATTGTTGTGAAGCTTGTCTCGACTTCCACTGATCAGGTTGCCTTGCAAATCTATTGACAGAAAAGGAAGCCAAATAAGTACAAGAGAAACCAGGAAAGTTAACCCAACTTTAAATGAGTCTGTCAGAATGGTTTCATAAGGTCTTCCCCCTCTCAGGTTGCAATTCTCCAATGAAGATGACTGAATTAATTACAGCATGTAATCTCAAAGCTCAGATGCTAATGTTAATAATAAACAACATGAAGTAACTAAATTATAAAGAATAAGAAGCAGTTGTGCTTGGATGAAAAGAAACAATAATCTCAATGTACCCTTTTAACTTTGTGAAAACAAACAGGATCAAAATGCATAGACAATAAGAGTTATGACACCACATATCCTGGATCGGAAAAGAAATGTTGCTCTCAGCCACAGACCACTGTGAACTTCCGTGTTAAGCTAGATTAGACAAGGGCAAAGGGGTGAAGCCGTGAAGATGGAAAAGGAAAGCCTATAGCTTACCCGTCAATATAGAATTTCCTCAGTAGGTAAGGCCCCTGCTTAGTCTTGGATAGCTCTGATTGGAGAGGTAACATTTCCGACACTATTGTTTCTCTCAGAGACAAGTTACTAGCAGTGAAGCACTTTTCAACTGTAAATGAACCAAATGGGTGCACTGAGAGCTCACCAAAATGTCCTCGAAGCCTTCAGGTTACAAATCATCATTATTAGCAAATCAACAATATCATTTCTAACTGTAAATGGAGTTACAAAAGTCGGCTGTAATACATACTTGGCAACTAACTTCCGCTTTTGCTTTGCCGATATATTCGAGTTGAGGAAAGATTCAATGACCCGCGAACCACTAGGATCTTTCGATGCCTCAAGAACATGATGCTCTTCCAAAGATGTGATACTAGTAATATAGACCTGTATGAGTTCCTGTAGCATATACAAAAGGATTTTAATCATGCTGACAGCTTAAAAAACACTTCACCAGATAGAACATAAGGTACATGATAACTACACACTGGCTTTTTGAAATATAGAAAATATAAGAGTTGAAGCAAACAAGCTAGATAGGACACATCAGATGTCAAACTGAAGCTAAAGACTACCAACAAAGTAATGTGAAAGGCAGGGAATGTTGGAAAAAGGTGACTATGTGGCATAGACATGCATGTACATCATAAAAATAAATTCAAAAGAAGAATGAGAAAGGGACACATACACTGGGAAGTCTAAATATTGACTGCAGAATAAGAGATCCAACTACATGGATCTTTGTTCCGTGTGGCCAACTCCAGTTAGATTTGTCACCTGAGCAAAAGAAATTTTCAAGAAATAATATTCGGGGGATGATACACTTGGGAAACTCATCCCCTGTGCATACAGCGGAAGCAATGGCCTGACAACACTGAAACCAAGAAAATTGGAAAGAACAAAACATTCAGCTCTCCTTCTTTCCTTTTAGAAAAAAGAAATATTTATCAATAATGAAGGAAATGAATACAAAAAGACATATTTATCTATGAACGAACTGAATACTACGTAACTGTTTCTTATGATCCAACAAAGTAAATTTTATTCAAATCAGTACCAAGATGGTAAAGTTATAAGTAGAAAACAACTTAGTACAGTTCTCCCTATTTCATCATATGATCCAAAAAGAATACCTAGAATGTTTGAACACAACAGTTAGGAAAATATAAAGTGTGACCGTCAATATTCACAACAAACCTCATGTTCATGACTGTGGAGCCTTTGAGTTGCAGCAAGGACAGAAGCAACAACTCCAGACTTTCCCATTTCGAAAAGATCATGAAACTTTGTTCCAAGCTCCTCCCAGATCAAGTCCATCTTGCAACAAAACAGGGTGTGAGTGATACTATAAACAAACATATGATTAAACATGAAAATCTGTTGACAAAACCTATTTCAAGCTTACAGTGTAATGCCCAGTGAGATAGTTTTTAACTGTGCAATCAAGATAGAAGACATGCCTTAAAAATCATCTCGTGCACTGCATACTGATTTTAACATCTACCAACATTTGTATCTAAATGAAATATTCAATGTTGTGCGATTCAATTCTACAGGACCTTAGGTTTATCTTACATGAAAGCAATATTCCTATAGCTGAAGTTTGAAAAGCCTTACATGATCCTCACTTTTGGCGTGAGATGCTAAAGCCTGCACAACGAAGTTCGCACAGTGATGAGATGACATTCGAAACAATGACTTCCTGAAAACTTTTGTTAACAACTCACTGTACAATGTTTCAGGAACAAATTCCAGGATGACCTGCAACAGTGTGCATTAAAACGTCAAACATGTTCTAACAAGGAGAACATTGTACAAGTTAGAAAGCAAAACAGCCATAAGAAGCACAATAGATCATCATTCAGCAAACTTGCAACGTCTCTATGGTCCTTGGCTTCAGCTGATTTTATAGGGAAAAGGTGGATTAATGTTGACAAAGCACAAAGAACTTATGCTCTGCTTCCACGATTAACAAACATTTATTTTGAGCTTTTCTTTCAGATGGTTGGATTGTGTAACAGGTTCAACCATCCTCCATCTAGTAGCAGTACTAGATTGCAGAAATAGAAGGTTGATATCCCAAATATATAATATAAGCAACTAATTTAATTGGAATTGCACAAAACTGCATGACTGTGGGCTCATAACAACTGAGCGTCTGCAATTTACAGGTCACAACAATCACTGTGGACCAGCAGCATAGGGGGAAACAGGCTCATGCATCTTAAGTAGATGCCTCCATTCAAATTAGACTGAACTATCACTATTTGAATATTACCATTAACAGAAGCGGAATACAACCATGTGCAGCATACAGATAGATTCCATGACTACGGAGCTCTTAAACCAGTTAAAAATACAACACTACTGTTGGAAAAGCATATACAGAGAGGAAATGCAGGCAGAAATCAATGATCTTTTACCTCCATCAAATGACTGTATGCAGTTTCTTCCACTAGCCTTGAAATGTTTCGTATGGTTTTTCCTTCTAACAAGTTTCCAGCATTGGCACTTTCAGCGCTGCTCCCAAGAAGAACTCGAATTAAATGCAACAATTCCTGTTCATTTCCAGCAAATAATTTCAAAGCAGTCTGCAAATAAGAGAATAGAATCGATCATTGCTCGTTGATATGTAATTCGACAGTTGTGGTTTAAACTAGTGGCCTTAAACAAGATATGAATCATTAGTTGGCACACAATCATGTAGCAAGTATAAGTAGGTGTTTCCAATTTCCACAGTGGTCTTTATCATCATTTGCACATTTACATACTGTCAGCAAAAAGACTGATGTAAGAATGGAGCCCGGTAGCATATATAATATACCTGCAGAACTAAACTGCTGTATTGATTAGTTTGAAGTTTTGAAATGTCTTCACTGGCAACATTTAACATCTCTGATACAAAATCTTTAAGCAAATTAGGAAATATTTGCTGAGACTGCAATGAGCCATTGTCTTTTGCATGAGGCGCCTTGAGATTCAAGCGTTCAGCCAAGACAACTGATGACTTTGTGGAATGGAACTCTTCTAAAGGCACCCCTTTAAGTAGGCAAAGAAGACTCCGAAGCACATGAGATCCATGGCAGTTGCACATTATATCGACAGGATTCACAACAATTGCCTGACATAGAAAAATAAAAGAGCCAATGAACAATCAAGTTCAGAACATGGATCATGTATGCCCAAGAAATTATCATCCACTTTTTATTCTCATACACTGACATTTCCCAACCTTAATTTTATAGCAGATTTCTAGAAGGGCTTTCACGTATAACAACAAGAACAGAAAAGAATTATGCAAGCAAATTGTGTGCTTTTTATCAAGTAAATAAATTTTCATTAATGAAAAGGCCAAAAACAAAAGGTGGCCATATACAAGTGGTATACCAAAATAGTAGAAAACCTACAATAGGACAACATTAAACCATTATAAACAATGACGACATCACTATTTCATACCTTACAAAGTTTAGTCAAAGCTTGTTCAATCAGAGAATGGTTCTCATTTTCCTGAAGGTGATAAGATAGAGATTTTAAAGCCGTTTCGACCACGTGAGAGCCTGATCTATCAGCTGCAATATGAGAGATATTCTTTGCACAGCTCTGAAGGAAACTACAAAGGTGATCCAAAGAACAACCTTCAAGTAGAGTTTGCAAAGTATGGCTTATTATATAATCAGTTGCAAGTTCTACTTCTTTCCCTCTTGTTTCTTCCAATGCATTTCCACAAATGACAGACCGCTCCTCCGGGTCAATTTCTGTACCTTCTATGGCATTAGCAATCTCCGCAAAATATTTTGCAGTCTCAGGATCAATCTGCTGTCTGCATAAGAATATTAGCAACAACAAAAGCAACAACGGCCCAGTGTTGCATAAGAATATTAGCAAGGTATGAATATGTCAGATTGCAATATGCCAAATAGTTCATCTAATAAAATTGGAAATGATGAATATGCGGTTAGAACCTGAGAAATGATGTCTGTGGAACAGGGGTTGCCTGGTTGGGCTTACGAGTTCTATCATTGTCATAGGTGTTTCCTCCCGATACACTTTCAATAGTATTATCAGCATCAAATCCAGTATGCTTTTTTGACGTCTTTCGTCCCATTCTTCTTTTCCTTTCCCCTGATTATTCGTTTTATCCTCCCAAGCAGTTAACCGCTCCGTCAAATAACAGGCTTTATGTTTTCTCAAAATTAAAGCTTGCAGACCTAAGAAACCATGGGTTTTTACACTGCAATGCTTGCCTACTGTAAAAATAAGATTCAACAGCATATTTAAGCAAAGTTTTATAAATTATTCAAAAAGAAAAGCAGCTTCTTTATACCATCAAAGAAACATATTTAAGTAACTTTCCTTAAAACGTCTCAAGGTGATAAGAAACAACTCCCTTAAGATGTTTTTTCCACTTCAATAAAAAGAAAACAATAACCCAATGTTGTCAAAGACGCGCTTAAGCCTTGAAGCAAGGGGCAAAACATGTTGAGCGTTTCCCCTCGCTTTGCAGGCACTTCACTGTCATCATCAAGGCTCTAAGTCATACTTTTCCTTACCAATATGTGTATCTTGTGAAGTGACACTAAACATTTGATATTTCAATTTACCATAAGAAAAAAAATCAATTTCTTGTCCATATATTTGTTATTCATTTTTATAATTATTTGTCTTGGACTACACATACATATTTGTAATTTTTCTCCATTACCTTTCTTCGTTGAACGGCACGCTTTATTTGCACTTTGGGCTTAACACACCAATAGACCTTAGAGCTTTTTTGTGTTTTTCGCCTTTGATAACATTGTTGTAACCTTCTTGAAACTAGGCGATATAACCAGCTAAATACGGCAAAAGATAACACTGAATCCATGTATACAAGGGCAGTTCGGTTGAAACAACACCGGCTTAAAACCAAAAAAATTACCTTCTTCAATGCAGGTTCAGTTTATTCGCAAAGTGATAGATACATATAAAGACAAGTACTAGATTTTTTTAAAAATAAATACAAAATACAAAGGCTAGTGACAACGGGCGAAGGAAATACCTGTCTTGAAATGCCTTTTAACTCCAATACTAAAACTATAATCTTCTAAAAACTAGATGTTATAACCAGCTAAATAATGCAATTGATAATACTAAGTTGTATACATATCCAGTTGAAACAACACCCTCGTTTAGCATAGACAGGGCTTAAAACAAGAAACTCTAGATATTTCAATGCATATTTAGTTTATTCGCGAAGTAACATAAAAGGGACGCTCTACCTACGGTAAGGTGATTTGCATAGTGAAACTGAGTTACAGAGGCTTACATAGTTACAAAACATGAATATAAATATAAAAACTTTGGAGTACATATGCACGATAATAGGTCAAAAAGTAAATTTCTTATAGGGACAACAACTAATATTCTTGAAAAGCAGCTCGCTTCTTCAAAGAGGGCAGAGCAAGTGATGATTTTGGAAGATGACCAAATGTCGTTCGATAAGGGCTAATTTGTTAAAGGCCCAATAACAAATACTGGGTTGGGCCCAATAACAGATACTGGGTTGGGCCCAATAACACTGAAATTGGCCTATTAAAAGTACAAACGGACCGGCCCATGATGACTCCATCATCAGTTGCTAATGTTGATACAAAGTAAATGGGTGAGTGGCAGGCCCATTTTATACATCACAGTGACAAACACAAGCCCTTCATTCTGACCAACTTGTTTGTGCTTACCGTTCTATTTTCTTTTTTCAGTTTAGCCATCCGACATTCAAAGATGCACGCCGCGTAGCCCTGTCAGGAGCGAAGCTAGCTTAGAGTTATAGGTTATATATAACTCGGTAGTTTTGATCCAAATATTATGTTTGTTTAAAAAATTTATTAGGATATATGTAAATTATTAATTTAGAACTCAATAACTTGAAAAGATTAAAATTTGAACTCATAAACTTCAAATCCTAATTCACCTTTAAGCCCTTAACAGGATAAAAGACTACCTACTAGACGTTATTCATTTCAAGCATCCCACCACACATATTTGTTAATAAGTCGCGACTCAAATTATTATATTAAAAATCTCCACTCTATCGCTGCTAAATTTTTAAAGAGAATATGAAATATACAAGCCATAATTTCTTATTCTTATGAATTTTTTTCTACCTGCAATTGGTCTAGTTTTAACGTTATATATAATTGAACAAAGAAATTTAATCTTTGCCCCTCAAAATGAGATATTCCAATGCAAATTCAGATTAGACGAGTACTACTAAATACCAGATGGGAAACAAAAAAAAAACCTTAATTGACATTGGGAATTTAATTGAAACATTTGACATTACTATAATTCAAGTTAGTTACGGGGAAAACAAAAGTTAGTTAGTCATCTGCTAGATGTTATTAGGTTTTAATTGTTTTCATGGTTCTTTGAATTTTTTCTAAATCGAATTTTGTGTAATACCTCTCATTAAATACAAGAGTAGTTAAGTAAATTGAAAAGAAAAAACTAATAAAACAAAAACAAAGAGTATGTAATTGGGCTTTAACCCATCAACAACGTGTTAGGCCAGTTTTCTAGTAGTGTTTGTCCCTTTGTTCTGCACTGTCTTTATCATCTTCCTTGTGAAATAACAATCACTCAAAAAGACCTAGTAGGCTAGTATTAAACGTGTCCCAGTACTATCTTCCTAATTCTTTTAATTATAAATAATCCAAAAAGGATATTTTATATGGAAGGACTAAGTGTCTTTGATTTTGCAACAAGATACTTAAATTACCAAGTCACATCATCTTCTCCAATTTGAAGCCACCTTGCGAGTTCAAGTTCTATTCATAAAGAATATGAATTATATGACCAGAAAAGCAAAAAAAAAAAACTCAAAATCTGAAACAACGATCATGATTTTGCTCCAAGAGTAGGTGAGGGGTTCTATTTCTCTCCCAAAATTTGATTTAGAATAAATTCAAGAACCATGACAACAATTAAAACATAATAAAATGACAGACGACTAACTTACTTTTCGCTTCCCTTAACTAACTTGAATTGTTAAGTATAGTAATGCCAAAATAATCCCCAATGTCTATTAAGGTATGTTTTTTTTTTGTTTTCATCTCGGTGTCTAGTACTTGTTTTGGACCTACTAATCTGAATTTGCCCATTATTCATGAATATCTCAATTTGAGGGGGGTAAAGATAAGGTTACTCCTTTCTATTGTATATTACTTATTATTTTAAAAAATTTAGCAGCGATAAAAAAGAGATTATTAATATAACAAATTGGGGTTTGACTTATTATCAAAAAAGTGTGGTGCTATATTTAAAAATAAAGAACTTCTAGTTGGTAGTGTTTTATCCCGGGACCAGATGCCGAGTTAGAACTTGAAGTTTTTGGTTCAGGACAATGTTTTGGATAGCGTGCGGCGACAAATAGCGACGAGGGTCCACTTCACTGAGGCGAGCGCTTTGCTGTGAAGCGACAATTTATACAAAAATATAAAATATTTTATATATAACTAAAAACTCAAATAGCAATAATAGATAAATAAATATATCAATTTTCAAAAATTAAAAACTCAATATACAGCTATAGTAGATTCATACTAACAAGTAACATCTATTCTTCTTCAAGCTAATCCCAAGTTATATCATTTCTTTTATTACCATCGGATGACGCCATTTCAATATTGTTTTATAGGAAAAAATTATCAAGTCAATATGCAATTAATTCTAACTCTTTAACTGAAAAAAAGGAGGAAATTTCATAGCAGAAAAAAGAAAAAAAAGAAGAGAAGAACTGAAGAAGCTCTCTGAATTGAAGAAAAAACAGAGCTTTTCTGAGACTGATATGTTGAGTACAGCAGCAGTGATTAAAAAACAGAGCCAAAAAAAAGAGAAGAAAAAAGAAGAAAAAATAGAGCAACACAGACTCTGTTAAGTTGCAGCAGCAGCGATAAAAAACAGAGCCCAAAACAAAAAGAAAGAAGAAGAGATGAAAAAGAAGAAAAAGGAAGAAAAAACAGAGTAACAGCGATTAAAAACAGAGCCCAAAACAAAAAGAAAGAAGAAAGAAGGAAAAAAAATTGGGCAGAGTCACAGAACAGAAACTCGAAGAAAGAAGAAAGGAGAAGAAGAAAGAAGAAAAGAGATGAAGAGAAGCATACGTGATGAAGAAAGAAGAAAGATAATCGCTGGTCTGTTATAGGTTTGTTGTCGACTGGAAGGAGAAAGAGTAAAGAAATCGCAAGCCCTAATTTTTTGTTTTAACAGATCGCTGCTACTGCCTTCTTTTCATTTTTGCAAAAAGCGACGCTACAGCTCGCCTCACGCTACAGGTCGCCACACGCTACAAAGGCAGAGGCGCTCGCCTTTTTGAAAATGTTACGCCACACTGTAAAATAGCGATGGCAGCTCGCCTCGCCTCGCCTTACGTTATTAGCGCTGAGGCGAGCACTATTTACAACACTGATTCAGGATTTTATAATTTTCAGTTATTGAGTTTTAAATTAATAATTTATATATATTCAAAAAAAATTTAAATAAGTATAAATTTTGGATCAAAATTAGTGAGCTCCGTCGAACGCGTAATATTATGCTTACGACCTTTGGACCAAGTTGGTCAGAATGAAGGGCGAGTATTTGTATCAACCTTAGCAACTAATGATGGACTCCTCAGGGGCCAGTTTCAGTGTTGTTGGGCCCAACTCAGTATCTGTTGTTGGGCCTTCAACAAATTAGCCCTCAACGAACGAAAATTGGTCATCTTTCAAATCATCACTTACTCCCAACCTTGCTGCCCTCATTGCAGAAAGAGAGTTGCTTTTCAAGAATATCAGTTGTTGTTGTCCCTGTAAGAATTAGTTGACCTAGAAGCTTGCATATATACTTCAAAGTTTTTTTATTTATACTAGTGTTTTGTAACTATGCAAGCTTCTGCAAGTCAGTTTCACTATGTAAATCACTTCACCGTAAATCAACCTTGTATGTCACTTCGCGAATAAACTGAACATGCATTGAAATATCTAAGGTTTCTTGTTTTAAGCCATGTATATGCTAAATGAGGGTGTTTTTTCCAACTGGATTGTCTATACATGATTACATGGGCTCAATATTATCAATTGCCACCTTTAGCTAGTTTTAACATCTAGTTTTCATAAGATTACAGTTTTAGTATTGAAGTGAAAAAGCATTTCAAAACAGGTATTTTGGTTCTCCCGTTGAACTTAACTTGGCTTTGTTGGGCACTAGTCTTTGTGTTTTGTATTTATTTTTACTTGTATCTGTCACTTTTTGAATAAAAAGAGCCTGCATTGAAAAATGTAGTTTTTTGTTGCTTTAAGCCCTGCTATGCTAAATAAGGGCCTTGTTTCGTCTAGACTCCTTCTATACATGAATTCAGTATTATTTTTGTTGTATTTAGCTATTTATATCGCCTAGTTTAAGAAGGTTACCGCAGTATTATCAAAGGCGAAAAGCACAAAAACACTCTAAGGTCTGTTAGGGCTTTAAGCACAACGCGCAAGTAAAGTGTGGGCTTTAATGAAGAAAGTCGCAAATGGAAAAAATACAAATATTGAGGCATAGTCGAAGACTAATAATAGAAGTCACTTAAGGAACGGAAAACAACAGCTAAAGGATAAATTTATGACACAAAATATTACCTTATGTATATAGCATCCTTGTATTGATAATGTCTTCCTATATATGGTGTACTATGTGTGTGCATGAATGTTCTTGAAACATTAATTGTTCTTTTATTCTTTCAACCGAGGAAACAAATCATATCAAAGATTACATTCTAAGTAATTATTGATCAAGTAGCATTTTGCTTTTCTTCTAATATTCCAAACTAATTTGATATTTTTACCTGTGTCGGTTTTAGAATAATATCATAATCAATATATGAAACTAATTAAAAGCTTAAATCTTTGTAAAGCCAATCAACTATGATCTTAAAATAGAATTGAAAGAACATCATAAGTGGGATTGCGGGAGAACTTCAATTAGCTCTTGTATACACTAGCACATCCAAAATTTAGATATGGTGAATTTTGAGTTGAGAGAGCAAATTTTGAAATGTACATACAATAATTTTTTTCTCACTTGTGTGTAGGGTTCAAATTTGTGATTCATAGCTAATTTGGGATTGTTGTAAGGGCTCTGACTTATGGACTTGACTTATTTGGGAAGAAAAGCATACTAATTCTACGGAGAAAAGACAAACTTATGATAAAATTCACAAAGATGACTTCGACTAAAGCAAATAGGCTTCACGTAGTTGTTAGCATATATACTGTTCTAAGTTGTCACCTTTTTTTAGAAAGGTAACAGCAAACTGTTGTAAGAATCAATTTGAAGCATTACGATTTAATCAATCCGGATTTGGACATACAAGTCATTGTAAAATTTTCATGAGTCAAGTTTTGGCACAAATATAGGCTACTTAGATAACAATTTGCAAATTTCATCACCTGTAAGTTTTGAATCTGTAACGACAAATTCTAAACAGAAAAGCATGTTAATATCCATTTTCTCTAATACGTGTTGTAAAACTCACATAGCAGGCAAGATATAAACCAATATTGATACAGCTCTAAGGAACGTGATTAGAAAATTCAAACAGAACTCAAAGAAGCCCACATCAAACTCAACATTACCACACAATCAGAAACATATAAAAATGATAAAGAGAGTTAAGAGTGGAGGAATGGACCTCAATAAGCTTCCTTTATATATGTGAATCTCCGATGATTACAACTTAATGAGAATTCCGACGATTGAACTCGAAAGGAAAATTTTAAAAAAAAAACAGTAGCTACCAAAATCGAGCAAGGACCGAGAACCAGTAACAAAACTCGAACGGCGCCGGAAAGCTCGAAATCGGATAGACCTCAAACTCATTCCAAATACTTCAAATAAACTCCATATGAGTAAAAGTTACTCCAAGTACATCGAAAACAGAAATGACAGTAGCTTAGATGAAATTTGAACAAAGAAATCAAACTCTTTTCTGTGTAGCAGATGAAGAAGAAATGGAGAAGAAAGAGGGAATGAAGGTGCGCCGTTTTCTCTAAGGGTGGGAGTATCTGATTTAGGTCTCCCTTCCTGCTTTTAGGGTTAGGGGAGCAGGGGTTATAATAAGGGTGTTTAACAGATTGGCCGGGCCGGGCGGGTTGGGACAAAATAAAGCCGATCGGGTTTCAATTTGGGCCGATAAAGGGTTATTTGTCAGGCTTAACGGGTTTGGATCTATTCGGATAGAGAGTAAACCGCATGGGTTGCGGGTCAACCGGGTCGGGTTAGCTTATTTTTGTATTTTATATAACTATCGTAATTTTTATAAATATAAAGTAAAAAGAGTGTTTGAATAAAAGGATGCAAATGATTTAAAATCTTTATATTTGAAATTTTAAATACTTAATTAAGAAATAAGAATTTAAGATAATAGAATACAATAAAAATGAAACTTTCAATTGCATTTATAAATTGAAAGTGCTTTTTTTTAATTTCAAAATTCAAACTTACAATTTGAAGTTTACATTTAACAATAAATAAATTAATGAAAAAAGACTTAAAGAGTAAATTCAAAGGTTTTGCATTGTCTTAGTAAGTTCTTCATAATCAATATGAACTTCTTGACCATCTTCTCGAGTGTTTAATTCAGATGGGTTACCATGTGTTAATATATCTCCAAGTTCTTCGTCTTCTAGTTTATCAGCATCTTCACGTCCCTGATTTATTCGTTCCGATCTAATCCAATCTCTGAAACATACTAAAACTTCCAAAGCATTGATTCCTAATGAGTAGTGGGCGTCTCTAAGTTGTTGTCTTGCTTGACTAAATGCACTCTCTGATGCAACAGCTGAAATTGGCACATTCAGTACGTTTTCGAGCCAGAGCGGAAAGAATATGAAATTGCTTTTCATTCTCATGCCACCATCTCAACGGTGAAAATTCCTTTGTGCGAGGCTCTTTTTGTTTTTGCAAGTGGAATTGAAGTTCATCAATGTTCCTGGTATTGGTTTGAGTGGTAGGAAATGTAGAAAAAATATTAAAACTATCAAGGCACTCATCATAATCCATAGTAGTATAAGTGGTACAATGCATAGTGGGATTAACATTGCCTACATTAAGAGCAGCATCATCAAATATATTTGCATAATAATTATATAATTATTGTAAATAATCATTTGGATTGTTCATACAAACATATATATCTGGGGTTTCAGTTGGTCCAATCTCCATATAAGTATATAAAACATTGATTAATTGGTGACAATCAGACATTTTAATAGAAAGATTTAAAACATCACCAATTAAGTAAATCGGGGGAATTGGAAATAAGTATTTTTTGAATTTTGCTTGCATTTTTTCAACAGCATCCTTATATTTTTCTTTCTTCTTAAATTCGGAGAGTAGTAAATAAATTTCAGCTATATGTACTAAAGTCGTAGTAACAGTCGGGTAATATGCTTCAGAAAACTCAAGAGTAACTATATAAAATTTATGTAAAAATTTAACAACATCATTAATGGCCACCCAAGTAGTACCTGTTAACATACAGTTTGGATCAGTACAATGCGCATTAGCAACTTCAGTTATTAGCAATATATATTTGTAGCAACATTTTAAAAATAAATATGTAGAATTCCATCTAGTAACAATTTCCTCTAGCATAAATTTGGGCTTAAGGTTATGCTCGGTACACTTATTCTTAAATTCCCTAATTCTAGATTGTCTATTATTTTCTTGAATAACACCAACTGCTCTTCTAACATGAGTAATCTCAGTTGAAAATAAATCAAGGCCACTTTTAACAATTAAATTATAAACATGACATGTACACCTAATATAAAAAATTTCATCAAGTGGTGGTTGCAAATGCAGTTTTGATATTAAAATTGTGGCATTATTGTTAGAAACATTATCAAAATATATACACAATACTTTTTTCTTAAAATTATAAAATTCAACAACTTTGTAAATAGTAGTACTTATAAACACAGTAGTATAACTCTGATCTTCATCATATTTAAAATCGATAATACGTTTTTGCATACAATAATTATCATCTATCCAATGACATGTAATTGTCAAATAATTATTTCCATTAACAGCATGGCCAATATCAGAAGTTAGAGAAACTCTACAAGAAAGATGGCCAAACAAATAACGTGATGGGTTTTCAATGTCTTTGCCTTATGATTCATGTGTTTTGATGATCTAACAAACTTATTGTTAAGAACCAGATAGAGAACCTGACCCACTTGGTATACATTTCAAGTGAACAATGTCCAGTCTGATCTCCAACAAATGAGCGAACAACTACAAAGAGGAACACAACAGGGACCTGGTCCCTTAGGGTTCTCTGACAGAAGTACAAGTCAACTATACAGCTGGAACGCAACTGCAGAAAGTGACTGTCCGCAACTGTTACAAAGAGGAACACAACGGGGACCTGTTCCCTTAGGGTTCTCTGACAGAAGTACAAGTCAACTATACAGCTGGAACGCAACTGCAGAAAGTGACTGTCCGCAACTGTTACAAAGAGGAACACAACGGGGACCTGTTCCCTTAGGGTTCTCTGACAGAAGTACAAGTCAACTATACAGTTGGAATGCAACTGCAGAAAGTGACTGTCTGCAACTGTACACGCGAAAGTGCAGCAGATAGTGCAACAGTCACTTCTCATTGGGAAGAAGCGTGTACCAAGAATTGATGTCACCATTGTGATGTCTTTTGTAGTATAACAACCTGGTGCAAGGCATAACATATTCACTTGTGCATTTAGTGATATTATCTCAAGCATTAAAGTGTTCATCCAGCATTGAAGTTACTGGTGTGTCAAGAACAAGAAGACAACTCCACTAAAGGAACAGTTTTACAATGAGTTTATGTGTATCCGTAGTTGAGTTATAATTTTGTTATTTATTCTTCATTGTAACTCTTATCTTGCTTTCTTAGAAGCTATTTTTGTAACGACCCGACCAGTCATTTTAAGAATTAACGCCCTGATCCCCTATTAACTACATTTCCCGTGTTTGTTTCTGCTATTGTGAGTTGCAGGAAGAATTTATTTGGAGTTTCGGAGAGTTTTGGGGCACTTAGTCCCTAAATGAGAGTTTAAAAGGTAGAATTTGGGTCGTAGTTGGAGCAGTGTAAAGACGATCTCGGAATAGAATTTCGATGGTTTTGTTAGCTCCGTTAGGTGATTTTGGGCTTAGGGGCGTGTTCGGATTTTGTTTTGGAGGTCCGTAGCTAATTTAGGCTTGAAATGCCGAAAGTTAAATTTTTTAAGTTGCCGATTCGATAGTGAGATTTTGATATCGGGGTCGGAATGGAATTCCGAAAGTTGGAGTAGCTCCATAGTGTTGAATGTGACATGTGTGCAAAATTTCAGGTCATTCGGACGAGGGTTGATAGACTTGTTAATCAAAAGCATAATTTGAGATTTTTTGGAGTTCTTAGGCTTGAATTCGATGTTAATTGGTTGATTTGATATTGCTTGAGGCATTTTGAAGATTCGTATAAGTTTGAACAGTGGTATTAGACTTGTTTGTGCTTTTGATTGAGGTCCTGGGGGCCTCAGGATAATTTCGGATGGTTAACGAAAAGTTTGGAGTTGAGAGTTTGCAGCTGAAGCTGCTGAGTTTGTTGTCATAACCGTACCTGCGGCTTGGGGACCGCAGGTGTGAGCCCATAGAAGCGGTTAAAGTACCGCAGAAGCGGTTTTAGGCGATATGGGATTTGACTGCAGATGCGATCAAGGCACCGCAGAAGCGGTACCGTATCTGCGGAAAAGCAGTATCATGTGCGAAAAGTCCTTGTTTAATGAGTTATCTTAGACTGCATAAGAGGTCCCGCAGATGAGGAAAATTGGACCGTAGAAGCGGATTTGCTGGGCAGAAAATAAGAATTTTGAGGGTTTGAAATCAAAAGTTAGGAAATTGATTTGAAGCTAGGGAAAAGGCGATTTTGGGAGGATTTTAAAGAAGAAATCAGTGCTTGATGATTCCTAATCCTTTTCTAGTTGTATTCCAATAATCTAATCTTAGTTTTGTCATTTAATTTTGGATCTGAGATGAAAATTGAGGGAAAAATTTGGAGAAAGTTCTTAGACCTAAATTTCGAGTTTTGATTGGGAATTTGATATTTGATTTGGATAATTTTAGTATGGATAGACTCGTGAGACTATGGGGATTCTGAAAATGTAAATTTTACCCAATTTCGAGACGTGGGCCCGAGGGGCATTTTGGTCATTTTTTTATAATTTCACGTATTAGCTTAGAATTTAATTATAGAATCAGTTACTTGAAGTGTTATTTACATTATGCAATTGAATTGAATAGATTTGGGCTATTTGGAGACGAATACTCGTGGCAAGAGCGTGGTTTCGGGTTGATTTTGAGCCGGTTCGAGGTAAGTGGCTTGCCTAACCTTGTGGGGGGGGGAACTCCTTTTAGGATTTGGTATTATTGATATTTGAAATGCCTTGTACGTGAGATGACGAGTGCGTACTTGTGATAATTGTTGAAAATCCGGTTTTTATTAAGTAACTAAAATTGTGTTTCTTTTCCCTGTTTATACTACTTGCTAATTTAAGCCTGCTGTTAGCTTAGGGAAGTATGTCTAATTACTTAATTACCTATTTGCTCAACTGCCTTATTGATTTATGTGCAACATGTTAGGTTATAAATACCTTCTTACCTTTGTATGAAATTTGAATTGAATTGAGTATTCTTCATGTTGCTGTTGTGTTTTATTTTGGGACTACGGGTCGGTATCCCGGGAGATCCCCCTGTATGTTTACTTTGGGACTACAGATTTGTATTCCGGGAGATCCCCGTGCACTATTATATTAGAACTATGGGACTGCACCCGGTAGATTCCTCCATTACTAGGTATTTACATTTGGAACTACGGATCGGGATTCCGGTAGATCCTCGCGCACTATGAGTTGGACTACGGGACGGTATCTTGGGAGATCCACTAAATATTTATATTTGGGACTACAGGACGATATCCTGGGAGATCCCCGGTTGTTATCTCTGTGTCGAGCTGTATTCCTTTCCGTGATTACCTTGTCTCTGTTATAGCTGTTCTTTTTCTTTCTATC